TTAATTGTCACCACGCAACTGTCCCACAACACTTTCTACACATCCTGATACAACGCTTCCAGACTCTTGAACCGATCCTGTGTGTAAAAACTTCTGCCCAGTACCAAATACGAAGCTAAGTCACGTCAATGGACTCCGCTGGCGGTAGACGCCGTTTCTATCAGACTGATCAAAACTCAACAGAAACGGGTCAATCCCAACAGATTTTATTTTGTTCCAGTAACGAGAGGTATGAGTGGTGGTAAACTCTTCGTGTAATAGGACAAAGGACAGTTTACCTAACGTTTGTCGGCCATTTCAATGCTTGGAAACTCGCTGTAGGCGCTGTAGCCCCAAAATGGCGTCGCACGGGACATGAGGGGTCGTGACGTCATGATGACGTGTGGTGAATAAGCTCTATAGTGTACAAAATATGTGAAAATGAGCTTAAATTTGCCGGCTAGTTCTCTTCTCGCGCCCTCTTTTATTAGCGCCACTGCGGAGGTCATGGAACTGCAGCCGACTCACAGTACTAGGCGGGACAAGTATCCAAGCGCAAATCTACTCCGACTAAACACGCACCATAATCCAACTTTTACAGTCTAAAAACTGACGTATTCCTCTAACATTTACCACAGGTTCTGTCTCGATGCCATGCACAAAACAATCTCTGCACCCTTCCCTAGTATTGTGTAGCACTACTTTGTGCCCGGACTACTTTTGACTACGGGGTTCGCCCATGAATACTGTGTTGTGCGGCCTTAATTGCTATGACCTTTGAACCTTCCATCCGGGACACAAGCAACAACAGTCACCTGTAACTTCAGAACGAATAGCCTGAGCGCAGCGTCATGACAAAAACGGGCGGTCTTTTCCCCACTGGAGGGACCGGCATTGTAACACTGATATGGGCGACTGTTGTGGCCATAGCTGTGGTAGTAGTAAAGGTGACTATGGGTCTTTGGAACACCGTCAGACGTAATCGGAAACTAGCGCGGGAGTTTCCGGTACCACCCGGAAGTCACTGGCTGCTCGGACACATGGTTTTGGTAAGTTTTAGAATGTCATACCAACTTACCTTCCTCATCTGCCAGTGTGCTAACGTTAACTGACGCAAAGAAATTGTACATCACGAGTTACGAATGAACGTACAGTCAAAACTAGGGTGACCGCGCGGGCAATGACCCCAAAACGATCGGATACGGTCGGGTGAAAAGTCGGTGCCTCGCTGCAAGCGCATTTTTATTGTCTTTAGATAGCAAAACGTAATTGCCTTAGTCAGAACAAGGAAGTTGTATTTAACCTCCTTGGTGGCAATGGTCAGAAGGGTATGTTTTAAGGTTGGCCATGGTGGAGTTGCTCTGGCGTGGGTCTGTATGTACATGTGTGTCAGCATCATAACTCATTGACAAGTAGGGTGGATGTCATTGATATTTGGTAGTTCGAAAATGGTCCACCTGGCGTTTTTAACCAATACTGCAGCGGGCTTTTTATGCATTTGTTGATTGTATGTGTTCAGCATAATAACTTGGTAAACTGTGAATGGATCTTAAGATATTTGGTAGGTGTAGGTATAATGGAAACAAAGTTCAAGTTCGAAAATAGTTATCCTATCATGTTCCTTCGTTGCCGCTGAGGGTTGTGTTTTTTTTTTTTGTATGTTTGATGTTGGTTTTTACAGCTCGGTGATGAGGGTCGAGGATTGATGACGAAGTCAATGGAGTGGTCCGCAGTCTACAAGTACGCTCATGTAATCCACATGGGGCCGTTCCTGCAACACTGCACAGTGTACCACCCGGATTACGTGAAGGCTGTGATGTCACGTGCAGGTACATGTAGATATATGTATGGGCAACACCTAGGTGCATTTTTGTTGTCGGAAAATTGAATTTTTGTTTTTATTTTCGTATTATTACCGTCGGGACGGAAGTATTGCTTTCGGTTCTGCTATCCGAGGGTTTGCGTATTTGTGTCGAATCCGCACTGTGACCTGGGGATTTGAGTCATTTAAGATTGGGCTTCTCAGAATGATGGGGTCGTGTACTTAATTGGTGTTCCTTCGTGGTCATGATGTGGTTTGGGGTGAGCAGGAATGTGTGAGGTCTAAAATTAATTTTGACTAATGTTGTAATCGTGACGGGTAGTTGCATCATAAAATATCCGTTTCTTCTTATGTTTTGATTCTTTAAAATTCATGATGTTCACTTCACCCGCACGTTTGAAGTTGCAATAGGAAACGTTACAATTTTTTTTACCATGTTACATCTGGGCAAGCTGACGTATCGTATTTTACAGACAAAAAGGACGACTATGTCTACGGTTTCTTGAGGCCTTGGCTGGGTAAGTATACAGAGTCTTGTCAGCCCATACAGCGTCATTTCATGATCCGTCTCAAGAAAGACATGTACAAATGTTTTAAGTTTTGTTTGATCTTAGTTGTAGTAGACTTTAGAAAGCCTTCCAGTGCCTCTTCTTTTGTTGAGTCAAGAAAGAATCATTAGCCTGATACACGTAGAGTCTAACTTGTCTTTGCACAAGCCTTCAAGTCTGAATAATTACCGGGAAATTGAAATACTTCATCACTATTATTATCGACAGGAGACGGTCTTCTCACCACCGCTGGAGCCAAGTGGTTCCGGAACCGCCGCCTACTCACACCAGGGTTTCACTTCGAGATCCTCAAGCCGTACGTTAGGCTCTTCTCGGAGAGCACAAACGTCATGATGGTAAGTTCTATTTGTAAATACTGGGAAGTCAAAATTCAAACATATTGTGGGATGCTTTTTCGTGGTACTACGAACTATTAAAGAACTTGGACTTTATTACCGTTGCACATTTTGTTTCGGGTATTCAGATCTTGCCATTTCCTCACAACAAAAGCTTCTGGCTTCTGCTTGAAAGTAAAAGATAAAGAAGATAAATATTTCCTAAAACTGGACGCATTGTTAGAAAATATGGTGTTTAGTAGACAATCTCTACTCTAATTTCAACAGACAAACTGGGAGCAACTGGAGTCTGGATGCACCATTGACGTGTTTCACCACATGAGTCTGATGACGCTGGACAGCATGTTAAAGTGCGCGCTCAGTCAGCATACAGACTGTCAGACGAGGTAACGACCATCACAATCCTTCTAATCCTAACACAATCCTAACAAATAGAAACTGTGGTGGTATTGCCACGTGTCATGGTCACTGGGACTAGCCAAAACTGCGTGAGAGGAACAGTCCAGAGAGGATGAAAGAGGGGTGGACAGGGGAAAGATGGGAGTATGATACCAGACAAGGTACAGACATATGGCTACGGGAAACGTTAATAAGGTTAGAAAACCGAAAGGGCAACGGAAAATGGTTAAAAGATCGTCTGTAGTGATCAAATGGTCAAATAATTACACTAAGAGATAGGTGAGATAATATGATATAAGTTTCTATGTTTTATGTCTTAAAACGTCAACGTGAGGGATACGGCGATAACTGAGTAGTATACTGCATGCTAGTAGTAACGTTAGGTTTAACGTAGCAATAGTAATCCTCCTGGCTTGAATGTATCTTACACAATTGCTTGACATGTACCGCAGGAAAACGAACGACTACATCGCTGCCGTGTACGAGTTGTCAGACCTGACCATGAGGAGAGGGAGGTCCCTGATACTCAGGAGTGACCTGATCTACGCTCTGTCTTCTGACGGGAGGAGGTACGTGTATCAAGTCACACATTACAAATCAAGAGAGCACCATCTGAGGCAAATTAATATTGTAAATGTTAAACCAGACATTTTATACCACACCACTCATAGTTTTTACACAAATATTTGTATCAGGCAAGACGTACAGTTGCTTATACGGCGCCTTCTACTAAAAAACATAAAACGAGAGTAAAACACAATGACGAAAGACATACATACATACATACATTCAACGTTTATTTGATATAATCAACACGTCAAAGCAAGTATAAGCAGTGACCAAGGCAATAAAATACAGTCTTGATGTTCTGCAGTATTTCCGCACATTTCATTTCATCGTTGTATTAGTGTATTGGAGTATTTTCACACATCTACGTGGACTGTCTAAGCATGCACCCTTTCTTCACCGTCACGCATAATTCGCATAACAACATGAAGTATTCCTCAGGTACCGCAAAGCCTGCAAACTGGTCCACGAGTATGCAGAACGCATCATCGCTGAGCGACAAGAAACCCTGAAGCAACGAGGTACTGACGAGAAGACGACCAAGGACAAGAAATATCTCGACTTTCTAGACATACTTTTGAAAGCGAGGGTTCGTGAATATTCATCATCATCGTAATCATTAATCCTGATAAAAGCAATGACAAAAACCTTTGACAGTGTGTGTTAATCCTAATGTAATACGTGCTTTTGTGAAATTGATTAATTCGAGTGCATTCTCTCTACCATGACATTGGGGTCCAGGAATTATGTCATGAAAAATCAGAAGACAGCATTATCCACTCTTGAAGTTGTTTTGTGTTTCTCACGTGCAAGGTCATAAATCAGACATCTTGGTGATAAATAATATGTAAGGTCCTGTGTGAGCTCCTCACAAGCCAGGCTGCCTTTTGCACAACAAAAAGGAGGGCACGCCCCAGTCGTTAAGAACGTAAATTTATATTTATTTGAAAGGATGAAGACGGTAACGGTTTGACGGACGCTGAGATCAGGGACGAGGTGGACACCTTCATGTTCGAGGGACACGACACCACAGCCAGCGGGCTGTCCTGGACCCTGTACTGTCTGGCTCGTCAACCGGGACATCAGGAGAAGTGCAGGAACGAGGCACGGGAAGTGCTGCAGGGGAAAACGGAAGTGACGTGGTATGTTCATATTCATGGTAACGAATCTAGTAGATTCCTTGATATGGTTGACCTAGAAATAGGTTCCCTGCATCTTTTAGAGACAATTATATGCCCAGCTCTATTTTCAGTAATATTTATTGCTGGTTTATGGATCCATCTCTGTAGGGACCTTCTGCCATCTCTGAAGTACATCACCATGTGTGTAAAGGAGTCCCTGCGATTGTTCCCTCCTGTACCCATGATATTCCGTCATCTAGAGAGCCCCCTGACGTTTCCAGATGGAAAGACACTCCCAGAAGGTAATATATCCTTCCGCCAAGTATAATGTCAATACACTCACTCACCACCCACTAACCAGTCCCATAATATCAATACAATATCGGCAAATTATGTTCTTGAAGTTACGTTCATTCATTTATTCATACATGTTAACAATCAAAGTTTTTTTGATAACCACTGGTGTCTTTTTGTCTGGCAGCTTACGTTACTATGATGTTAATATGTTTTAGATTATGATTTATATGTCATTCTATTTGTATGATTTATTTATAGGATCAAGAGTCGGCATATCGCCCAACACTCTGCACCACAACCCTCACGTCTGGGAAAACCCTAATGTATGTTTTGTGGAAAAGTTAAATTGTGGTATCCTCTTTATCATCTTCCTTTGCCATTTTGTATTCTAACATTTTGTATTCTAATTTCATGTGTTTGACTGACGTTGCTGACACTCAAGTAAATGGGATGCCCGTTGTATTTTCAGGAGTTTGATCCACTCAGATTTTCTTCTGAAAACTCAAAAGAAAGACACCCATTTGCGTTCGTCCCCTTCGCTGCAGGACCGAGGTGAGTCCCTCACTTGTATGATAAGTATTATTCCTTACTACAAGCACTAAATGAATTATTATTATTATAAAAGTAACGCAAGGTCTTCCCTGTAGAACTATGTTTTCAGGCTTCAAAATTAACTTTTCTTCCTATTGTTCCAGCACTATCCCAAAAATAAATCTCAATTGTCCCAAACTATCCCAACCTGTTTTTTAGAAGTATTGTATGACTTCAACTTGAAGTCAACTTTATTTTGCTTATATGTTCACTCCCAGGTGCACTATAATAATAGAGAAGACAGAAATTTCGGGGTGGGGGTGGGGGGTTCCTGAAACAAAAGAAGGGCTGACATTCTGTGGTTGGTTATTTTTCTATTGTCCCCAAAATGTCCTAAAGTGTCGTTTTGGTTGTCCCAGCCTAAATTTTTGTGGAACATCTTTAATTTCGAGCCCTGGTTTTGAACCCTTAAACACCTGTATTCTTACAAATATATTCCGTTTTGATACAGGAACTGTATCGGACAACACTTCGCCATGAACGAGTTGAAGACAGCTGTAGCGCTCATCCTGCAGCAGTTCAGCCTGACTCCTGACGACACCCTGCCGGAGCCCATCCCTGTCCCTAAACTCATCCTGCGGGCCAAAAAACCGGGCCTTTTTCTGAAGATCAAACCTGTTACAGCATAAGATAGTCTCTCATAACGGCATATAACATTGAACATCAAAACTTTCATGAATTCATATTGATTGGCAGCATGCTTACAATAGATTACTGTGTGGAGATAGATACAAGGAAAATAAGAAAGGAAATTTAGACTCTTAATACTTTTTGTCTTAAAAGTGACATACATTGGAGAAGTGAATTTTCAAGAACGTCATATAGACCTGAGGTATAGTCTGTGAAACGTAGTGTTGCATGCTAGAGGTGCTATTCCAACTTTTATACTCTGTCGTTGGTACAGACTAGTCCTAGTGATATAAAGGAATTAATAAGTTCTGTATCTTAAAGTTGTAAATCATGATATCATATCATCGCTGTATAGACACTTGACAGGTATTCTTAGACTAAGGACATTCATGGATATCCAATCTTGTGACGAAAATTGTCGTGACTTCAGGGAAAAATACAACCGTGGTGTACACAAAGGGCGAAGACACACACAGACAGAAAGACAGGAAGACATATAAATAATAATACTTCACATACCTGGGGTGAAAAATAAAGTTAGAGACCAATACCATGGTGTAGTATCTATGTATTACGCATCTGGACACAAATACAGCATCATACAGATACCCATATGATTTAATGCACTCAAATGTACAAATACGTATATGAATAAAAGAGCATTGCATTAATCATAATAAGAAATCCTCGCAAAATAAAGGAGTGAAAAGCCTTCATGATTAAATTTCTCTCAAAAATCCTTCTCAACTTCAGTTTGCTTCAATCGCGAATTTCTAAGTGTTACAGATTAAAGGAGATTAGGAGGGCCATGTTGTTTGAGCAAACACACCTGCAATAGTGAGTATTTGCATGGCATACAAATCTCACTGACCCACTGACCGGCATCCATAATGACCTTTACCACTCTAACCTTCGACATTTACGCTGTGACCTCACAGTGACCCATTGAGGCCAGCATGATATTTGTGCTTCCGGAAAGTCGCTGCACGATGTCGTCCGAAAACACTTCCCCCCTGTTTGGTTTTCTCTACCGCCATGTGTTGATCACGGCCCTGTGGTGCACGGTGGCTCTCGCCGCGGTTGTGCTGGTGAGGGTTACGGCGGCTGTCCTGCGATCGCTGCGGAATCGGTGGGCCATGGAGAAGGTTTTCCCCGTCCCACCGGGGGCACACTGGCTGCTGGGACACCTGGTGTTTGTGAGTTAACTGCCGAATCGGTTTATGGTGCCTTGTATTAACGACCTAGAAGATTTACACCCACATAAGCCCTGGGCATTTACCCCCATTTTTCATATATCAGGGTCCTGTCACATAACATGCCCGTAGCCAGGGGGGGTTCGGGGGTTCGAAAGAACCCCCCACAAGGCTTAAGGGTCCACTTTTTGGTCCACTTTTTATGTAAAGGTCCACTTTTTGGTCCACTTTTTATGTAAAGGTCCAAGATTTTTCTTCAAAAGATGGACTGGAATTGTAGAAAAAACTGCTCCCTTTGTCATTGAATGAAAATTTATCTGATTTTTTCTTGGAAATCCTCTCAAAAATGCATGAAATGCCATTTTAGACTGTTCATTTTTCAAAATTTTCCGGGGGAGCATGCCCCCGCACCCCCCTAGGAACCGCTCGAGGTCCCCTCAACCAGTGGGAAGAACCCCCCATTCAAAATGCTGGCTACGGGCATGCATAGCCGTACGTACGATCGTCAACTTTAAATATAGGACATTTTAATGATAGCCACACTTGAGTCCTGCACAATACAACTGTCTTGTTACAGAAATGCTGTCTTCCTTGTCGGCTGTTGGTTCTGTCACAGCCTGCTTCAAAATTCTACATCATCAAAATCCGGCGTACTGTGAACTACGACAAATGTCATGCATTTATTGTCCTGTTTGTACTGATAAGGTACCATCGCAAATCCTGCACGCCCGGTAAAACCGCCTATAATGCTCAGAAAGATAGAAATGTTCCCATGGGTCACTGATTACTGTTTGCCACAGCAAGTCGACCGTTTCCTACGCGTACTCAAATAAACATTCATTTGTTCTGCATAGGAGGAGAAACATATTATCTTACTAC